ATTCTTCACAGAAACCCTAATCTCAAGATCCTCATCAATTATATGGAATCTCAACAAGCCCATCAACCTTTTGCAGAGATTTACCTTCGGAATTTGGGTGCCGCACTGGCCTATTCGCCAACCAAGTTGTCGCCGCCCTTCTTGCCAAAATTGGCTCCTTCGCCCAATGTGGCGACTCTTCCGGCTTCAACATTGTCTTTGTCCCTTGCTCTAGGTTTCCCCTTCTACTTCTTGGGGTTAGACATATTCTCACCAGAGCCAAGGCAGCATCGTCGCTAAGCGACAATTCCTCTTCATGGGTTAGACATATTCTCGCCGAAGCCAAGGCAGCATCGCCGCTGAGCGGCGATCCCTCTGCAATTTTTGATGGCCAAGAACCGGGTTGTTAGCATCTTCATGAAAAGTGTTTCTCAACCTCTTTGAATTTTTCAGATTCAAGCTTCACGTTCGTTTAAATCCGACGCTTAGCTTGCGGTGGGGTGTTAAGGATATTTAGTAATAAATTATAGTTTACCATATATATTATATTTGATATTTTATTATAAGGCAAATATCTAATATTTGCCTTATTATCATAGGTATCTTTCCATTTATTGTTATTTCCATTTATTACTATTTCCATATCCTTGTAATTCATTTGATTATAAATAAGATAACTTTCACACCATTTAGGTGTGGTGGATTAATCAAACATTCACATGGTATCAGAGCCCTCTCGGTTTAACAACCCCGATCCTTTCTTTTCAATGGCTTTTGAATCCTCTAATCTTCTTCTCCACCACCCCTGCTGGTTTTGACGCCGCAGGGGCAGTCTTCATGGCTGCCGTAGTCGGAGCCGATTGATTACTCTTCGGCTCCACCCTATTGACCTCCAAATCACCTTTCGTCATACTCTGTACATACAACCTCACCTTTTCCAACCCAATCGGTTTTCCCCTTGGCCAATATAGTCTCTCTCATTTTCTTCCCAATCAACCTTCATCCTTCACATAAACCCTAACCTAAACCTATCAACCTTTTGCAGAGATTTACCTTCGGAATTTGGGTGCCGCACTGGCCTATTCGCCAACCAAGTTGTCGCCGCCCTTCTTGCCAAAATTGGCTTCTTCGCCCGATGAGGCGACTCTTCCGACTGCCCTTCTCGCCAAAATTGGCTCCTTCGCCCAATGTGGCGACTCTTCCGGCTTCAACATTGTCTTTGTCCCTTGCTCTAGGTTTCCCCTTCTACTTCTTGGGGTTAGACATATTCTCACCAGAGCCAAGGCAGCATCGTCGCTAAGCGACAATTCCTCTTCATGGGTTAACATATTCTCGTTGAAGCCAAGGCAGCATCGCTGCAGAGCGGCGATCCCTCTGCAATTTTTGATGGCCAAGAAAGTGTTTCTCTACGCCTCCTCTGAACCAGGTTGTTGACATCTTCACAAAAAGTGTTTCTCAACCTCTTTGAATTTTTCAGATTCAAGCTTCACGTTCGTGTAAATCCGACGCTTAGCTTGCGGTGGGGTGTTAGGATATTGAGTAATAAATTATAGTTTACCATATATTTATATTTGATATTTTATTATAAGACAAGATATTTGCTTTATTACCATAGGTATCTTTCCATTTATTGTTATTTCCATTTATTACTATTTCCATATCCTTGTAATTTATTTGATTATAAATAAGATAACATTCACACCATTTAGGTGTGGTGGATTAATCAAACATTCTTAGACGTAAAGTCACTTCACTACCTTATACAACCTCCTGAGATAAGGACTTATGCAACATTTCATAATATTTGGAGGGCGTTTAGGGGTTAAACTGTAGGTAGTCTTCCTTATGGGCATTATGGTCATTTTTTTTACCGTTACTTGGTTTTCCTACTTAACCTTATCTAATGGCCACCAAATTTCATACATAATCTCAACATGTCATAATATGCACAACATTAAAATTTTATAAGCAGGGGGTTCATTTTGAGAGTTATTTTAGCATTACCTAAATCCCAAGAAATTTTAGCATTACCTAAATCCCAAGAAATTTTAGCATTACATAATCTCACCGTTCTTTCGATTTTTCTTCCATGTAACCTTAATTCATACTTTTTTTTTAGGGTTAATATATAAATCCAAGCAATTTCTACACAAGTATTTCTTGAGAAAAGTCCAAGGTGGCTACTTACCTCTTGTCCGGTGTTCGGGATCCTGTTTCTTGAGCTTCCAGAAATCGTTTTCATCTGAATTTTCTATAGTAGCTTCCTTAATGAGTCTATTTTCTGGAACCATTGAGACTTTTGTGAGAACCGACCAAAAAAGGGGTTTAATTTGATGAAAAGCTAAAGGGGGTCGGTTTTAGGGTTGATGTGGCTGGTTAAGTTGAATCGGCCACACCATCATCTTCTTCCTCCCACAGGGGAAGAAGACGTTACGTGGTGTTGCTCCTTCGTCTAAAAATGGAGTCTACTAACCCATTTCATAGCGTTTCTCCTTTCGATTCCTTCATGAAACTTAAAGATAAAGTGTCAAGGAAGAGTTTGGAATAGATATTTCACCTACTCGTGAACTATAGTGTAAGTTACAGGCGTCCAAAGTTAGGAGAAAACTCATTTGTCGCTGGAGTAAACCCAGAGGTTTTTTTTAATGGTTACGACGATGCAAGCATTATGAGGCCTCGCCTCCTTCACCAAAGATCTTCCTTATACTTTCTTAAACTAAAGGGATAATTCTTAGAAGCTAGATGGACATGGTTGAGGCGAATTTTGAGTTCCTTCCCTCGATTTGCAACTCAACCCAAAATGCGATTTTTCCTTCTATTGGGTAGCTCCAACTAGGCCATATAAGCCCTTGACTCCTTCATCAAACAATTTTGGGCATTAAGGGCCGTAACCAACTTGAATTTCTTCCCCAAAACTTAACCGATATTGAATATCTTCAATTACGCTTGTTTCTAAGGTCGTCTCCCTTGGCGGCCTTCTTCAAAATGATCCTTAAGTGTGCAAAAATTACTTGGTATATGATTTATCCGACGAATATGCCTATAGTCTTGGATTGGATTTTGAGTATTCCTTGGAGTTCCTGCAATGGCTCATAGAGTTGGGGGAATAAGATAGGGGCACTTTCAAAGCTTCCTTGCTCCACCAAACTTCTGGGTAATCCTCTTTAAAACGTGTAGGAGCAAGTTTGAAGGAGAAAGATGACTGTACCTTCCGAATTTGGAATAATTTTGGGAACACTATACCCAAAATTTAAACGCTCTTAACACTTGATTAAGGTTTCATTGAGCTCGTTTCTTGTTCCTATTAGTTGCCCCAACTCCATAACTTATAGATGAATGATCCACCGCCATTGAAACGTCCATAATCATCACAATTTCATCCTTGAGTTTTCTGGATCATTCGTCAGAATTATCTGTTCCGACCAGGGTTTTACCGACCTAGATTTTGAATTCTAATCGTTGGATGTGATGAGGTGTGAGTGTTCTAGATCTTCCTCAATTTTGGAGGAGGTCCAACGGCTGAGATTTGAGTTTTGAAGCGTTTTGTGCAGGAGGCCACTATAGACATTCTGATTTTGTTCAGAGTGGCATTTCTGTAATTATCCATTCTTCAAGAGGCATTTTGGTAATTTACGATTTTTTATTATTTAAATATCATTTTTCTTGAAAAATACAGAATTTTCCCAAAAATTATCTACCCCTTGACCATTTTTATGTTCTTGAGCACCTTGAAAATCTTCATAAAATGTTAAAAATGGGGGACGTTTGGTAAAAATTGGAAAATTCCATTTTCTCATTTTCTTTTTCCAATTTTTTATTTTCTTATTTTTTATTATTATTTCGCATAAAGCAAAATTCCATTATTATTTTTTATTTTTTATTATTATTTCTTGGGTGATACCACTCTCTATAAACCTGTCTAAAGACGAGGGAATATATAAGTGCATAACTCAGCACTAGACTCATCAAACCTTATCACCTCAAAACCAATGACTTAAGACCCATGTTAGTATAGAGCATAGTACCCTAGCATCCACTATGGACACGATCAAGAGACTAGAAGCAAGGTACTTACTCTAGATTTTACCTATTTTTTTAGTAATGACTAGACGTAGTCGAGGACAAGAGCAAATCTAGAGATGGTGCCATAGAGAGCCGATTAGAGCCTCTATCGGTTTCGTGTCAATTTTGTCCCGATCTTATTTTGAATTTTATTCCTTTTGAACTATTTGAACTTAAAATTATTTAGAGTATCTTATTCCAAAAGTGAAGACTTTTACCATGTTTTTACTCCATTGAGTCAACCTACGTCACGATCCATGCTCGGAACAGCTTTGTGACAGTCTTGAATCTTATCTCAATTTATTCATGAATGTTCAGACAAACATATAAAATCACCTAAAATACAGTTCTCAATCTTAATCCAGAGTTCCTAGCGTAGCAAAATTTATCTTATGGAGAATTTTAAACCTTGGTAAAGAACACATGTATCATATGTTTATCATTTCAACTCATTTCAATAATCTAAACATGCATTTTTTAGCTTGCATGCTATCATATATTAGCAATCTCAACAAGTATTACTCGTAAGAATTTCAAATGGCTACTTAGTGGTGTGTACCTTGATCGCTCCTGTTTCTGTTTGTTTGATGTTCCAAAGTTAAAAATATTTCACGGACTAACCTTGGTTCAAGTCATTAGGTTTCACATCAAAATCAAATGAAAAAAACAGTCAAACGAAAATCGAATGAAAAAAACAGTCAAACGAAAATCGAATGTGCGAGAAAATGCTTACCATTGCAGAGATGGAGGAAGTTAGAACTATCTTTTAATTGGTAGATCCCTCAAAGATTTGGAGACTTCAAAAGCTAGACCGAAGACTATTTAACAATCCTAAAAATTGAAGACCAATGACTTGAATTAGTGTTTACCGTTCCGAACCCATCGATGTCACGAGAGAGCATCTCCTTCAAAACATCGAGCGATAATCGTAATCTCAAAAGCAGTCAACAGTACCATAATTACTCGAATATTTCTGAATACGGAAGAACAAAGAGATGAAGTTATTATACATTCCCACACCTCTTGGTACCTTGGTCACAGTTACATGCATCAACCAACATCCATATAGAAAGGACATAAATAAGTAACTAATCTTTCTGAATCACAACATGTTCAAAGCGTACCTAAATAAATACTCGAACGAGTGAGCTCACTTTGACGAGACTCGATCTTTCAGATATAAGATGAGTAGTATATCATTTGTTTATGGCCCGTCTCACTCTTCCTTCCCTATTGTTATATACTGATAGAGTAGCATACAAGCATCTGATGAGACTCAGAAACGAAATCCGACCAAGCTATCAGCTGTTATGATGCATTGCTATTTTCTGAATAATTACTGTTCTTGCTTTTGTTACGTCTGTGCTGCATTTAGAAGCATGTACACTCAACTTCTCTATGGTCTCATCAAACCCTTTTAGGTTTTTCTTGATCTCATCTATTACAAGTTGCATAGCACCCTGTTCCCTGATGCCGAGATCGGTATTCTGCAACAACGAACCTAACTGAATCGATAACTTTTGCACAAGCAATCGAATGTTTTCAAAGTCCTTCAGAACTATGTAAGTGTGACCTTGCACAGAGTTGATAAGTTGCTTCTCTGCTTTGATGTGGCTCAAGTACCGATTCCAGAGCGTGTTACACCATTTCCCGACCGGGCCCATCGGAACGACCAGTGCAGCAGTTAACGCAATCACTACGGGAGGTGCAGACATTGCAGCCGCTACAACAGAGAAAACGAGAATGGATGCAAATAGAGTAACCAGAAAGACATTTGTAAGTTTCTTCCATGTTTTCATGGTGCGATATTTCTTATCAAGCTTCTTCTTCTGATGTTGCAACTTCTTGAACATGGACAAATGCTGTTTGTATAAAGGCACAAACAGCTGAACAAATTCCTGAGCAAAGGGATTCCCAACCTCCTGAAACTTCTTCAACCCTTCAATTGTCTTTACATATCTCTCATCATCTCCATTCTCACCACTTTCAAATTGATTGATAGCAACTTTAATGATGAGTTCGCTATCCCGAGTGCGTCGTAGACAATTCTCCAACGCCGCACAGAAATGCAATGTTTTGAGACTGTTATCGAAGAATGCATCCACAAGCTCAAACAACTCCTTGTTGCTCCATACATCCTCTTTACTTGCAAGGATCAACTTAACCGCATCTTCATTCATTTCCAGTAAAAATTCAGGGATCTCCATGAGCACATCCAACGACAGAGAACCCGGGCCAATTCCGGTGGCTAACGAATGGAGAGCCTGGTTTGTCCGTTCGTGCAGTTTAGCATCGAAGGATTGCAAATCTGGATTATTTTCACACTCGGTTTCATATGAACTAAGTGCAGCTGAATAGTGAGAATCAACATTGATGAGAACGGAAGGAGCTGAAGAAGCAACACCGCGACCTGATCTGTTCTTGCTAGATTGTCCTCCCATCATTTCCAGACAATAATTGACCACAACAAATCTCTCAATTCCACTACTCTATCCTTCAGCTAACACAAGAATAAGCTCGAAACTCAAAAACAGAACTAGAATCGAGCAATCAAGTTTACAAGATCTAAAAGAACAAACAATTCCGAAATCCCGTCACAAGTTTTCAGTCAAGCAGAAGGATTATTAAAACACAAAAATCCCCATCTTAGAAGTAAAAAGAGCAGTCGACTTCAAATCAAAATGAACAAGGTACCTCAAATTGAGAGAAGAATCGAGAAGATCCAACAAAACCCAGATGAAATCCAACGAAACCCAGATGAAATCCAAAGAAAGAGAATGATCTGGAGGATCGGAAGTCGGCCGCCGCAAGAGACTATAAAAAAATCGTGAGGAAGCAGAAGATGGAGCAGGAGGGGATCTCGGCGAACAACATGGGGGAAAGAACGAAAAGGAAACCTAATCAAAATGAGGCGAGTGGTCAGTAGTTGCTTATAAACAATTATCTAAATTGGAATCATAGTCTTCCACATACGCGGAGTTGAATTTTATTTTTCGTGGATTTTGTTGTTGGCGGGGTTTCAAGCACGCCTACCTTGGAATACTAAGGACTCTTCCTCGAAATTTCTTCGAACTTGTCACTCACTAGTAGTTCAAAGACCAAGTCCTCGCCGCCGCCTAATTAATTTCTAGAAAAAGAAATCAGATTTTGGTTGACCAATAAATTTGAGAATATATGTTCCAATTTTTAACTAATTGTATTTTTTATTTCACCTTATCATAGATTCTTGAAGAATTGTTAAAATAGTAATAATAATATTAAGCATTCAACAAATTATAAAACATATATTTATTAGAATTTGGACTAAAATTTGAAAGGTGAAATAGTGACTCTAGCATTTCTCCGCGTCCCCTGTGCTACATAGCACGAGTCTGCATCCTGCCTAGGTGAGAAAAAACATGTTATCATGATATTGTGCATAATGGGAGATCTAGAGCAACTTAGGGCATAAGGAAAGTTTATGCAGGGTGGTAGGTGTTGATGAAATTCTCACATTGGCTAATTAGGAAATGATCATGAGTTTATAATCAGGGAATACTATTATCTCTATTGGTATGAGACCTTTTGGAGAAGCCCAAAGTAAAACCATGAGAGTTTATGTTCGGAGTGGATAACATCATAGCATTGTGGAGAGTCGTATTTATCTAACAGTACGTAACTGTATGAGTGTCATATTAAGTTTACGGTCTTGGTTGTGTATTTATGGGACCAGCTTACTTGGTTTGGCTGAAACTCTAGAGAAAAGTCATAATTCTTTAGTTTCGTGGATCTGACTTCAAGGACCTCTCATTTGGTCATCCAACATTGAATTTCTCTAAGTAAAGCAAGCTTAACCATGAAGTTCTTACGCACCTTCTCTTTTTCGGTGATTCAATCATAGGAACTCCATGGTTAAAGGTGTTTTACTTGGATCAATTCTATGGTTGGTGATCTCTTATAAATTTTTCTTAGGATGCATGTGAGTGAGGAAAAAGCATTCTAGAAGGACTTGTATTGGTTTGTGGTGATAGTCTTCACTCTTAAGAAGCGAGGAACGTAGGTAACACATGACCATGTCGCAAGGGATTTAGGGGAATGTCGGGGCCACAAGGCATCCTGGACATGAGGCGTTACACCGGTCTTGGACAAGACTTGGGACTACACGAATAGATGGCCTAAGGTGAGAGTACCTCTTGAGTGTAGGAATGGAATAAAGGTTGAAGTTGCGATTCTATGTACGAGTCCAAAGGGGACTTGGAACTATATAGGTAGTTTCTTAAGGATGAGTATTTCTACTGAAGGTAGAAATGGATTAAGGCTAACACCCAATTCGGTAAACTAAACCTGAAGAGGAAATTGGGACTACACAAATAGATATCTAAAGACAAATATTTCTATTGAGTGTAGAAACAGATCAAGGTTGATGCACCATTTCGTAAACCAGTCTTGAAGAGGGACTTGGGACTACACAAGTAGCTATCTAAAACTGAATATTTCTATTGAGATTAAAAACAAGTCGTGATTAATGTTGTGATCCCATAAACTGGTCTTGGAAGAGACTTGGGACTCCAAATTTTTAGACTCCAAATTTATTTATCTGTCCCAACCCAAGTTTTTAGACTCCAAATCTCGGACCAATTAAAAAGACAAAATAAAAGATGAAAAATTAATAGATTTTAAATCAAAATAAAATAAAAGATGAAAAATAAATAAAATTCAAATCAAAATAAAGATAGACACTACCAAAATTTAAATAAAAAATAAAATCCAATTACAAGACAGTCCTTTCAAATTTATAAAAACGAGGTAAAGGGGTTCGAGCTTCAATTACAAAACCAAAGTACACAAAAAAAAAAAAAAATACAAAAAATGGACTAACGCTCCAAAGTGACTTACCCTATGACCACACAGCTCTCAAACGTTCTTCCACCTCGGCCAGGAGATAAGAATATAAATATACATAGTAAACAACCTACTTGTAGGCTCTCATCGCATCCTTAACCAAGCAGGTGATCACAAACTTTACTCTAGGCTCTAGGTGGAGGGCTCCTATGTTCGTAGACTTGGGTAGTTGGTTTAACCTATGCGAAGTAGTAACCAGTATCTAATGTTTAGGTGTTATCTCGAAGAACTCTCTTTATCAAGTTGAGATAGCATGGTGTGTGCTAGCTTGCTCCTCATCCATGAGAGGTTAGTTGGCAAACCTGTCCCATAGGCCATGTAGTCACCCAAGGTTGAGGGGAGCTACCACTCTACACATGCAAGCTCCACTGATTACTTGCATGATCAACACCCACCCATAGAAAGGATCCACCATGTTGGGTAATCCAAGCGAACTATCAAGTCACACATTCCTAATTAGCCTCATGTCTAGCTCAATGATATCGTATTGGAGTGGAAAGAAAAGTGGAAGCTATGCAACACTGTATCGGCTGCTATCAACCTAGGCGACTACCTTTATCTAATAGGGTTGCTATAGTGGTCTTCTAGAACCCTAGGGCAATTTGACGGTCTTGACATGGATTCACGTGTTCAGATTTCTCAGTTTTTAATCCTCAAGTTTGGTTCAATTTGAAGCACTATGGCTACATCCTTTGATCGTATCTTAAGATTCTAATGCGCTCGAACTACTAGAGCTTTCCATCCTAGGTCATTGTCTAGCCAAACTACTTACGGTCTAAAGGGAGAATCATACATCGATCATCTAGATTTATTGTACAGTAAAATCATGCATATGGTACACATGCTCTATGGGGCAATAACATCCATCAAGTACTTGAAGCACATATACACAAATTCTCATCCTCCACTTTAGTACTATTGTTAACACCCAAAAATGAAGGAAATTAGCTCCAATAAGAATAAGCCACCCATGTAAGACTCAAAGGATCCAAGAAAATAAATTAAGAGGATTAAGTAAGGACAAGGGTTTTAAGAAAGTCATTTCTATACCCTACCAAGTAATGGAAGGATTTAAGGTCTTTGATTGGAAAGGAAAAAGTAAGCTAAAAGGACAAAAAAAAAAAAAAAAAAAAA